GCTGCAGCGTTTCGGGTAAGTCCTGCTCTTTTACAGGTTCTTTTTTTATGTGCATTTTCTGCCTGAAGGGCCGGATCGGGGATGGGTGCGCGCCGCTTCCCAGATGTTGCGATGTGATTGCGCCCGTTTGCTGCGTCCCCGATCCATCCCTCTTCCAGCCCTAAGCCTCCCGTGTGACCGGGGCCAGATATAAGATTGAAATAGACGGGTCATTATCCTGACTCCTCATCAGGAGGCTTTTAAATCTAATTTTAACAAATTATTTAGGTTTTAAGAACAGAAGCCTGGTATAAGAAGGCACGGCATGGCATGATGTCTAAGGCATCTTTCCTTTCACACCTGAAGAGTAAAAACAGAGTAAATCATGGGTGAAACAAAAGCACTCTCCTGTGGGACTTTACACTCACTTTGCTAGCTTCCCATGCAAAGCTGCTATGCTTTTCCTTCAGGAGTATCTCTTTTAAACCAGACCTTTAATTCCACCTCAAGAGCAAAAAGAACTGTGTCTTTCCCCCTTCCTTTTAAAGATTTTTCTCTGTCCCTTCTGTTTCTACCAGATTCATCCAGGTTCATCTACTTTCTTCCTGGCTCACCAGGCTGTCAGCTGTATCATGGGGCCTGCAGTCTAGTTGGGGCAAATCAAACACCAGCCTGTTATTTCCCACATGGCCTTGGAATGACCTTGAATTTGCTCATGTTTCCTCAGCACTGGTGTGTGTAAATGGAAAGATCAGCACAAGGTGACAACTGGCCCTTTCCCCCTAATCTCACATTGTTTATAGAGTGGACACAGGACAGAAACACGCACATAAAAGATTAATAAAAATCAGCATATTCAAGGAGAGGTGGGTGTTATGGATATGGATGGATTTTCTTTTCCTCTCTGCTCAGAAGTAGCTTGGATACAAAGTTTTAAAGCACCAGGACAAAGCATAGCCAAATGTTAGTGGGCAGAAGGTAACCCATTAACTCCAGCTTCCCTACAGTGATATTCAAATTAGAACTGCAAAGGTGTTTTTCTGATCTGTGTCTCCTGTGTTATTAACAGCTCAGGACATGAGAAAACTCAGTAGGTGAAGCCTTTCCCTTTACTGCTTCTGTGTGTGGGTAAAGCTTCACCAACTGAATTTACATTTGTTACATAGCTGTTAGGGGCACAGGAGGAAATAACCTGAGGAAACATGATAACACAGTCCTTCCTTCACACCCAAGTATAATGAGAGGCAGTGTGGTCTAATAGATAGCACTGGGCTCGACTTGGAGATTGGAGACCTGGGTTGAAGATTTTCCTAAATTATGAAGTCATCAGGGGGCCTAAAAGTATATTCAAGGTACATTTGCCCTTTTGCAAAGGGCAAATAGTAATACTTGCTCCTGGCTTTTGTATAAAGACAAAAGGCAGAATGATTAGAAAGCGTTTAGTTAAAGAAATGTTCAGCATAAACAGAAGTACTGGCATAGATTAAAGATTATGTTTTATTCCAGCAGAAGCATTTGTGGACTATCATTCACCTACCTGGAAATGGACCATGGAAGTTTATGCTGGAATAAAATTTAGCTCGTCTTTATGCTGCTATAAGACTCCTGTTTATTTCTGGTAAAACAGACTAACCCAGCTACACCTCTGAAATGAATTCAAACATAATAAACTAACAAAGAACCAGTGTAGCCTTCTGTTTCATGTAAACCATAAAATCCAGCTTCTAGGTAACTATTTTACTCTGGAAAATGGTTGGAGGAGTAGGTTGCGAATTTTTTCTAGCAGTGCTCCTGGTGCTTTTAACAACTATACTTGTGAGGCAGATGCTAATGCCACAGGAGCCTTTTTTAAAAAGACTGCAATTCTAATATGGCTATTATTGGGGAGGGTCACATTCTATGTTTTTCCACTGCTCAGCTCAACATTATCCTATTATATAATTAACTGTTGTGACTTGGCTTAAATCTCCTTTCCTTCTTATTGTTAGTTTATATAACCCTTCTAGTCATGCAGCCTGTGAAAGAACGTGTTATAAGGAGGACAGGCTGACTTTACCTTCGGTGCAGTTACCAGAGATCAGCAACACAAGCAGCTATGATCCACTATGGCTGTATGGTCTAAAATGGCAAATCCTTCCAGGCTTCTATTAGATAAGGTCCATCTAAGAACACCAGGAGAAATTTATGCTAGGCTCCCATTTCTCTATGATATCATTCCACTGACCCCTTGTCATCCTCCCACTTAGAAAAGCTTTGATTTGCTTTGTTCCTGGCTAAAGAAAGGGACATTCTACGTATGACTTCCCAAAGCATGAGACAGGAAACTGAGAATGGCCAGGTACACCTAGCCCGTGTCTGGAGGGAATCAAGATTTGTTGTTGCCAGGATACCATGAGAATCCTTTAAGACAGGTGCACAACTCTGAGAAAGGATAGCACATGAACCTTGTAAATAATGTCATCAGTCTGGGGGAGGCACCTAAGTGTTTAAACAATTAGATTTCTGGCTAAACAGGAGAGCTTTTTGCATAGGCCAAATTAGGGTTGCCAGCCTCCAGGTGGGGCCTGGAGAGCTCCCACTTTTACAACTGATCCCCAGCTGACAGAGATCAGCTTCCCTGGAGAAAATGGCTGCTTTGAAGAGTGAACTCTATGGCACTGTGCCAAGCCGAGGCCCCTCCCCTCCCCTCCCCAAACCCTCCCCTCTCCCAGATCCACCCCCAAAGTCCCCAGGTATTTTCCAGCCCAGAGCTGGCAACCCTAGGTCAAACTGATCAGGCAGAGTTTGCAGGCTGCATATTGCAAGCCACTCATGTTTCATAATCCTCCCTTCTTTTGGTTGGAACCTTCCTGGGAGCATAGCAATGTGCTTTCTGAAGTACCTGCTGGGCTGCAGTATGTACATATATGCCTTATGCGGGCGACACTGGACAATACTTTTGCCCCTCATTCCCCTATCTGTGGTGAGGAGAGAATGTGCACCTGCCTATCCTCCCACTCAGCATGCCAACCCCCCCCCCTAAACACCTGTACAGTTGGTTGCATGGTTGGCACATGTGCATGTTTGATTCAGATAATGACCCTGGGTACAGTGCAGCAATCTGGAAAACTATTAGCCAGTCTGGACCTCTGTCAGTCAGCCTAGCCCAGTATTACCTGCAACAACAGTCAGTCAGAGGTCTTCTCAGCCCTGTTATCGGAGATCATTCTGACTAGAGAAGACTGATCAAAGGTCACCCAGCAAGCTTCACGGCAGAATGAGGATTCAAACCTAGGCCTCCCATATCTTTTAACCACTACACCATACTAGATGGGATGAGGGGAAAAGTTGGGGATATTGGGGGGGGGTGGCAGTGTCTCCACACCCTATGCCTTTGCTGGATCTCAAGTGATATAAAGGGGAACTCTGTTCCTGCTTCAGAATTTTCCTTAGCCTGTGCTCCCTTTTGGGATACAAGCAGTCATATGAGAAAAGGGGGTTAAGACACTACAGGAGCCAGTGGAGCACAGTGAGAGCCATGGGGGGGGGGGTACTCAGTTGAAGTGCCACAACATTTCTGGTAAGGCTCTTATATCGTTAAGAGTTACACAGCCAAAACTCTGTTGCATTTTGTTAGCTGTTTCTCCGGTGCACTCAATCGAAATAACTAGTATGTAGCCTAAATGCTATCAGCTCAACAGAGAACAGAAACAATTTATGCTGTAGGAGATTTTGCCTTCTCATTGTTTCCTATGCTTCTTTCAACAATTTACTAGCTTTGTCCAGTCACTGATCTCTGTCACTCCTCAGGTCTTTTGCACAGCATGCCTCCATGTGCTCTGGAGAACTCTTAGTGGGTTGGGTGGAGTACCCACCATAAATCAATTATTTGTCATCATGTGAGATACATAGCCTGATGTTGACTCACCTTACGCGATCACTGAGTAGCGAACCTACAGTGAATTCACACTCATCCCATTGTGGTCAAAGGTACTGCATTTCTCAAAATGCTGAGCTCAGGAGTAACTAGTTCTTCAGGTTTCCAGCAGAAGGCATCTGTGCCAAGTGCTGAGTGCTACAAGACCCAACCAGTCACAAGACCACTGCCTCCCTGCTGGAGGTGTGTCCAAAATTTTAAAAAATGCTTTTTAAGAGTATTGAGTAAGTGGCTAAATATGCCAAGAATTTGTTTTTCTGTTGTTATTGAAGCTGAGCATGGGAAAGAGATGAACATCAGCAGTGAATTTAGAGCCAAGTACCTGTGTCCTTAGAAAAGTAAAGATAGGAAGAGAAGTTCACCACACGGCAGAGAGCCCCTCACACCAGCCCCTTTAGGGAGGTACATTTGTGTGCACCCTTCATGAAAGCAGCAGTTCCCACATGTATGGTCAGTAGTTATCAAGAAACCTTTTTAATGGGTCACCACCAAGTTGCTGTCTGCAGTGGCTGAAGTGAAGTGAACCAACTGGAGGGCCAGAACAACAATGCCATTGGTTGTCCTCTGTAGCTGAATATTAATTTTAAAAGTTTGCTAATGGTCACCCACTCATTTTCTCCTGCACATGGATATTGGTCTCTTTTGTAGTAAGGAGCTCTGAAATCTTGTTTATGATTATTGTTTTAGCTGTTTCTTTTCAGATTGTCTAGGATTTGTGTTCAAAGGTAAAGGTTTCCCTTGCTCAAAAGCCAGTCAAATCCGACTCTAGGGTTGCAATGCTCCTCTCCGTTTCAAAGCCGAAAAGCCAGCGCTGTCCGAAGACGTTTCCGTGGTCATGTGGCCGGCATGACTAAACACCAAGGTGCATGGAACGCTGTTACCTTCCCACCGAAGTGGTACCTATTTATCTACTTGCAATTTCTTGCTTTCGAACTGCTAGGTTGGCAGGAGCTGGAACTAGAGACGGGAGCTCACTCCGTCATGTGGCGCACTCGGGTCTCGAACTGCTGAACTACTGACCTTCCACAGCCTGCAGTTCAGCGTCTTAACCACTTGACCCACCGCCGCTCCTTTTTGTGTTCAAAACAAGCCAATAAATACTCACCGCCTGCATGCAGCACAGCTGTCATGATGGAGGGGAACCATGATGTCTCACTATTGCTAGCTTGGAAATCATGTTGCAGATCTTTGAAAAAGACCCCGATGCAGGAAGGAAAGCCCAGTGTAAGGCCTTGAACCAGCACAGTAGATATTAAGACCATCCAGGCCCATCCTTTATCCTGGACTGTGAAGGTCCTAGGGGCTGCTTTTCCTTCTTGGTCCATTGTCCCTGGGAACCTTTTCCTCAGCAAACCTAGTTCAAGGAAACCAAATGAGAGTGAGTAGCAGATGGTGCAATAAAAAATAAATAGTTGCAAAATAGCCAGTGCTCCCAAGCAGAACTCTCTGTGCTTCTCTAAAGCACCTCGCAGTCTTTTATACAGGCCCTGGTTTCAACAGCTGGCATGGGAGAGAGAGCTGCCTTCCTCTTTTATTTCGAAAGCGTATGAATGTCTCTTGATATAATAGCAGACACGCCTCTATGGAGGTAGGAGCCAGCATTACTCACCACGGTGTCCTTACTAGTTTCCCCTTTCCCCTGTTTTCCTTTTGCTGCCTTTATCTGATGTTATAAAACTCTTGTGTCAAGAGAAAGCAATGCATGCAAAGACTGAGGACGGAGAAAAGTATAAATATAGTTGAGTTGTAATAAGCACTCTCACACATCCCCTGTCCCCTTTACCCTACTTGCTTCAACACAGAATTTAAGGTGCCAGACAGGGACCTTCACATTTCACATTTCTCTCAAGAAGCAGAGAGAGCGAGAGAGAGAGAGAGAGAGAGAGAGAGAGAGAGATGCTTCACATTTCTGTGTCACATGAATAGCCTTTACACACACAAAGCACAAGAGCCCTCCCCCAATGATGTTGGGCTGCAATCACACACACTAAATACTCCACTTTCAATGCACTTTCGAACTGGATTTTGCCAGTTCACACAGTAAAAATCCAGTTGGAAAGTGCATTGGAAGTGGATTATTTCGTGTGTGTGACCGCAGCCTTAGTGTCATGTGTGAAAACACTATGAAAATAAATTGGGTCCCAGAAGCTGAACTATGCCACAGCAAGGGCAACCTGAGCATCTATCAAGTCTTCAGCAATGGGAAGGAAGTCACTGGCTGCCCTCCTGGAATGCTATACTCAGGCCCCGGTCACACAGGCTGGAAAATGCGGGGGGGGGGGAGCGTGGGTGTTTGCCCCGGGGCAAACTAACGCACGACTGCGCAATCAGACGTCCGGTTGAGGTCCCGTCGAGGTCCCGTGGCTAGGGGGGAGGTGCCAATCACACGACAGGCAAAGAAGCGGGGCGGCGCGGCAAACGGGGTTGGTTTTTTTAAAAAACTTTTAAAAAACTGAAGTGTGCACATGCTCCGTTAGGTGCTTGTGCACATCCGTGGAGCCTTGGAGGGAAAAATGACCTTTTTGCGAGGGGACATGGGCGGGCGCCGGATGCCACCGGAAACGCGATCAGACGCCCGCCCTTGCCCCGCGGTTTCCGGAAACTAGTACCTCCGAGGTACTAGGTTTTTGCCCCGGATCTTCGGCGGGAAGCCTCGGATGAGCCACGGGAGCTCTACGCTTCCCAGATGTGGCGGTGTGATCGCGCCCGAAAAATCTGCCTATCTTCCGCCTCTGCAGCGTGGCTAATGCTCCATGTGACCGCAGCCACAGTTACCCTGGACTGGAGGCTGGGGAGCAACATATTCTATACAGGCACTTTCTCCAAAGGTGAAAATGTTCTCTGTATAATGTCTCCATTTCTGCATGTCCACAACTAGCCTGGAGTAGCAGCAGCTGCAACAGAACAAAGAGCAGAGCCAATACAGTCCATGTGAAAGATATTTGGTATTGTTATAACCACTGCTCTAATGAGCTAACACCATAGCCATGGCTGGCCATCTGATGACTCTGGTACTTGCAAGGGAACAACAATTGGGAAGCATGGTCCAGAACAACTGCAATATGTAGTCTCCTGTATGCTTCTCTGGCTAGAGCCCCTCAATCAGCCAGAGTGGTTGTCACATAGAGATTTGGGGGAGCGTGCACTGGCAGCAACTGGCTTTCTCCCCCCCCCCCAGTCCATCCAGAAGTGGTAATCATGCAAAGTAGCTGATCTTCTGGATGCAGAAGACATTTTCAGTATTAGTCAAGACAATGCTGGCATGTACATTTCAGAAGTGGACTGTTAAAAGGACATGCAAATCAGGTTTAGTGGTTAGAATGTCTAACTAGGATCTGGGACTATTTCCAGTTTCAGATCCACATTCCGCCATGGAAGCTTGCTGGGTGTACTTGGGCCAGTCACGCACTCTCAGCTTAACCTACTTCACAGGACTGCTGTGAGGATAAAATGGAGGAGAGGAGAATGATGTAAGCTGCTTTGGGTCCCCACTAGGAGGAAAGGTGGGGTATAAATGAAGTAAATACATAAAATTAATGGAGTGGAAAAACTGTTTTGAGCCAGTACACTAAATCGCTGTCTTTCCCACTTTTCTCTGCTGGGAACCGGTTAGAGCATGCACATACCTCCCCGCTGTACTTAGGGAAACATTTGTGCCCAGCAAGCTGCCCCCGCCTTCCACCAAAGCTAGAGGCCTGGACACTCCTGTCCTTTGGTAGGAACACAGAAACAGAAATCATTACCACACCTACATGCACTGGGTTATTCTCTATTTTTACAGTAATCCCCGCTAATCTGCATACACAAATCTCTATTTCTTTTGGTACATATACAGCCCAGGAGGAGTAATACTTGTCCTCAGGTTTGTCCCCCAGTTTTGATCAACAGGTACATAAGAACACAAGAAGAGCCTTGCTGGATCAGATCAGTGGTCCATCTAGTCCAGCATCCTGTTTCACACAGTGGCCAAAACTGTTGCCCTGGAGGGCTAAAGAACTGGGCCTAGAGGACAAGGCCTTTCCCAGATGTTGCCTCCTAGCAATGGTGTTTCAGAATACAACGTTCAGTGGTACCTTTACTTTGGTTTTAGTTTGCTACAACAGACTAACACAGCTAACCCTTTGCAATAGTCACGAGATTTAAACAGATGCATGTATATTTAGCCTTTCTTTATATTGGGATAAATCTTAATACTGCTATTTAGTTTGAAGTGTTAAAAGTGTTGTGTTGAAAATAGTTCAGCAATTTTACAAAACAGACTAGTATATTATCCGCATATTGCTTAAATATTATAATGAAGAGGATGAAAGGGAAAACCCCTTTTTCCTTTTTTTCCCTTTTCTGTACCCCACTGTTTTCCTAAAATAAAATAAAATAAAATAAAATAAACACCACCACTAAGGGGCAAGCTACAAATCTGGGGGGGAGGGGGATTCAGAACCTTGGGGGTCAAATGGGGACATCCGAGAATTCAGGCAATCCCTTCTGCCCAGGCAGCCACTTTCAACACCAACAATGGTACATTCTGACCCCGGTCCTAGATTTTCCCCATTAAATCTTTAAAACTTGCAAACAGGAGGCCTGAATCTGTGTATCTATGGTATGTATATATCGTAAATATACTTATAATAAAGTTGCCTTGTCTGAAGTGCGGTTTGGGGAACATTTGATGGTACTTGGACGCTCTGCAGGGAGGGCGGGGTATAAATCTTAATAAATAAATAAATAAATAATGTTGTGTCCTTGGTGGGTGGAAGTGGGTTCAGGGTTAAGAACCAAGGGTTAAGTAGCCAAACTGTTTGGTTTTAGGCCAGGCATTGGCACTAGCAATTTAGGGGTGGCAGCAGTGAATCGATTCCTGACTATAAGAGATCAGGATCAAGCACCAATCTGTCTGGTGTCTTTCGATGCTTAAAGGATTTCCCAGGTGTTTTGCCCAAATCACCAGCAGATCTCCTTGCCCACCCTGATCAACCCCCTCCCACCATCATGATAACAGAGAAGGGTGCAGGTTCCCCATCCCTTCCCAAGGTAACTGAGATCCGATCGCCCAGCAAACTGCCCACCGCTTACCTGCTCACGCCGGCTGGGAGGAGAGGCGTGCTGCTGCAAGTTCTCTTCCAGGGTGCCACCTTCCCTTTCTCGATCGCTCTTCTCTTCCTAGAAGGGCCGTCCGTCCGGTTTCTTCACTCCGTCGGTCCCCAGCAGCCGTCGTGGCTGCCTGCTGCGGAGGAGGTGACGGAGGAGGTGGAGACTCGACTGGAGGGAAGCCAAGGCGGCCTCTTGCCGCGAGGGCAGCGCGGGCGAGCGGAGGACGACCCCAGCCCAGCCCAGCCCAGAGTGGTCCGTCCATATGGAAAGAGGGAGAGAGTTCCCCGACGACGATCATGCGGGCAAAGAGACGAGAACTGGCGTGGCTTGAGATCGACTGCCCTGGCAAGCGGTGTTTCTATAGATCTGTTTTCGGAAGTGTTACTCATCTGAAACGGCGCGGCTGCATTTGCACTATCCCACGGCCTGGTCTACACACCTAGCAGAATGAAGTGGAATCGGAGGGGGTAAAATGGGCTGTACAAGTGCAAGTGTGGAGAATTACTCTCCCTCTTTACACAAAACCTCTCCCTGCAAATAAAACGTTGTTACATTAGAGAGAACGGTTTTAGCTTAGTCTTTTGCATGCTGTGCAAACTTCCCACATACAGGGAATAATTATTGTAGCAGCAAACCGAATCTTGCAATCTGCAGTGGTACAGTCGGGTTGCCAGCCTCCAGATGGGGCCTGGAGATCTCCAGGAATTACAACTGATCTCCAAGCTACAGGGATCAGTTCCCCTAGAAAAAATGGTTGCTTTGGAGGGTGGGCTCCATTGTATTACATTTGTGTTGAAATTCCTCCCCTCCCCTCAGCGAATTTTCATTACCACCTCATTCTGCTGTCTGTGCTGATGAGACCAACTTCAGATTGCCCTTCACATCATGGAAGGCCCCTATAGACAATGCCCTCCACCATGAAAACTGGGAAGAAGGCTGAGGCCCAAGTCAGGAATGTTGCATTTTCCAACCGCTGGCAGGTCAGGCAACTGGTTCCCTATCTGTTTCCCTGCAACCTAGCCACATTGATCTATGCAATGGTCACTTCCAGGCTGGACTACTGTAATGCGTTCTATGCAGGGCTACACTTGAGACTGATCTGGAAACTGCAGCTGGTCCAGAATACAGCGGTGCATGTTGTTACTGGAACACCATTAAGAGTTCATATACATCTGGTGCTCCACCAGCTGCACTGGCTCCCAGTTGAATTCTGGATTTGTCCTTTAAAGCCCTTAAGTGGCCAGGGACCAGCATACCTTCAGGACCACCTCTCTTGGTATGTCCCTCAAAGAGTGTTACTACTTGATGGATAAGCATGCGCTGCTGGTCCCCGGTTTGAAGGAGGTCTGCTTAGCTTCAACCAGGGCCAGAGCCTTCTCAGCTGTGGCACCTGTCTGGTGGAACACTCTCCCAAGAGAGATCTGGGCCCTGCAAGACTTATTACGGAGATGTTCCGTCAGGCCTACGTTTGAGGCGGTGGAGCTCAATTAGTACTGGCCTCCCCCGGTGCACCTTTATCCTATTGATTTCTACTCATCTACCCACCTCCTGTAACATCAGTTATCACCTGCCATGTATATAGGTATAGTGGACCCAGGAATAGTATATCATTTGGCACCATATGATATGATGTTTATAATTGGGTTTTGCTGTAAGATTACATCATGTTGACTGTTTTATTGTAACTTATTTTACTGTAGTAATCCACCCTAAACCTTGCTGTGCAGGGGAGGGCAGACTAGAAAAATAAATAAATAAATAAATAAATAAAGTTGTTCTCCCTGAGATCTAATATTCTTGGTTGAGGTATCAGGTTTGGATTGGGGAAGGAGTGTAAGAAGCCTTTTGCGACTCTTTAGTCACCAAGGTTATATGACAGGATAGTTAAAGGGTATGGCTGATCTGCATTAAGTGATCTTGAGCATGTAGCAAGTAGCCACTCATTCAGCTGTCAGGGAGGGGACATAGAAAGCAGATAGTTGCAGCCTGTGATAATCGCAAGTAGATTTCTGCTATCTGCCTGGGCATTTGTTGGTTATCAAAGAGTAAGAGGTATGTCAGTATCAGCAAATCCACACCTTTCCCCTCATTATCTGATTCAAAGATAAGGCAAAATATAACCTTTTTTATATGGGTAAGATATAAGACATCCTGGATGTGCATCCATGTGTAAAAGTTTCATTATGTATAGAAAGGATCCTTGGAAGATCTGATGGAAACATATTTTATTGTAATTTTTCAAAAAAGTAGTGATATAAATAACAACATGTTAAGGTCAGAGACATTAAATACCTTCCTAAGTACAGACCTGTAAAACAGTTATAAAATTCTATCCAATCCTTTTAAAATCAATACAATACAACAATAGTACACACAAAAATGTTTCTGTCTATGGCAATGAAGTTGCAGCTTTTATTCCATTAGTAAGTAGAGTTTTTCTCCCTAGAATAGGAGCAGAAAAAGTGCATTTGTCCCTTCAGATAATCTCAAATGCTTGTGGTTTATCTTATGACCATCTCAAGAGGTTTGTCTAACCATTCTTTGGTTGCATGAATAACCTATATAAATGACTACTTGTTCCCCCCCCCCATATTTATCGCAAGCTTTCAATAATTTAACAGGTATGTCTTTCTGACCCAATGTCCTATTTCTACTCTCCTTATCTATACAATGAATTGCTTGCAAGTAATTAAAGATAAATATATGTTGGAAGGCCTAAGTAGAATTTAGGAATCAAAGCTATATCAAAATCTTCACAGTTTGGGCATTATTTATGATAACTGGCTTTATGTCTTAGCAATTACCCTTTCAGAATTTTGTAATCTATGTTCAACAATGAAATCTGGTTATAAGAGTATTTTTCTTCCTTTAATAAGACAGTAACCTTTCCAGGATTCTGGAAAATCCATAATGCATAACTGACACCCTTGTTATTTGTACTGGAGTAATTTTATTGATTCATAACTATCAGTACATTGTTTGAATTCAGTTTAATATTAATTTCTATACATTTAATATTAATTACAAAAATATGGTGATACTAAGATGTGGTCTATTTCTAAATAGAAAACATAGCTAATTGAATAGCAGGTACATTATCTTTTGACTGAGTGAAAATACTGTCATGCTTCACCCATTTCCCACTGTTTCAACCATCTCAAAAGCATCTTTGGAATAACATTTGTGTTAAAATCTCCACATCTGTAGGTGCTCTGGCAATCAAATCTCCTGTTCTGAGCGTATGTAACTGGTGTTCAGGACATAGGACAGACCAGAGATTCTGTTGATGTTCCCTCCACCCTGTTGCTCATTGTTCTTCTTACCTGAGCTGATCTCAGACCTGACATTGATGTCCCCAAGGCTGTTGGTTCTTAGGGACTTCATCATCAGCACTGAGGTCAGCTTAACAGGCGTGGCTCAGGACTTCATGGCAGCCATAAAAAACAGGAGGCTGTTCCAAAATATCTCCATCCTCAAACATTTGGTTTATCATAAGTTCAGTGTGGTCTTCTGCACCAAGAAAGGGCTTGAAAGTGAGGAATATTTCTACTGCTCCCTGGTCATGAACTAATCATTACTTGGTGAGGTTTAGATGGTTCTGGACTGAAAGCCTCTGGGAGGGTAGGAGACCTATTAAGAGGGACTGCCTCGAGGCTGATGTATCTAAATGGATTCCAACAGGCCCTCAGGAGTTTTTGGCTGACATGGTGTGCTTCTCCTGATGCCCCTGGTTTATTTTTGAAACTGTGTGATATGGTCGATTGGGGTGGGTGACACAATTGCTTCTAGAGATCTTCTTTCCCATGGAACAACTTGAATGGCTTATGAAGGAACATAAGGCTATGAAATGGGTTAACAGACAGAATAAACAGAGGAAAGGTTGATTTAAAAAATGATCAACCACTGACCAGAGCACAGCTTTGCACCTACTTGGGAGCCGTGAGGGCAGTGAAGTGGTCTCATTTCTCCCCTCACCACTGCACCCATACAAAACTGACCACTTGTGCTTTTCCAACTGCTGAGGGAGCTTTTACAGCTTTCTGTCTGTGTGAACAGACAGCATTCTAAGTACTCTGTGATATATTTGCTAAACATTTCACAGACAAAATAGCTCCCACAACTTGAGTCCCACTAGCTTAACAAAGAAGTCTTAGAATGACATCAGTGCGCTGTCTAGTTGCAATTGCTTGGATGAATTTCAGTTATGGTGGCTTGTTTAGTATGAGTAAGAGTTTCTAAAGCCCTCTTTATTAATCTCTCGCTCGAAAGAAATATACCCCCAAACCCTGAATTTAGGCCACAACATTCTGATTTTGGGTCTTTATGACAAAGCTGCAGGCTCTGATCTAGGGCTGGAGTGAAAACAGAGATGGAATTTAGTGAACCATCAGAGAACATTTATTGAGACAAATCCAGGTACAAGCATGGGTAAATTAATGTTCAGGTAATAGGGTTGCCAAAGGTTGGCCTTGAGATCCCCTGGAAGGACAACTGACCTCCAGATGACATAAATCAATTCCCCTGGAGGAAATGGAAGCTTTGAAAGATGGACGCAGATCCCAGCTGAGTTCCTTCTCTTAAAGGTGTGAGTGAGCAATTTGGCTACTGCATAAATCAGTTTGCTCTGGAGCCATCTTTCCTGAGCGAAGACAAAAAATGTGTGAGCCGGAGGCTAAAAAACTGTGAGCTAGCTCACACCAACTCAGCTTAGAGGGAACACTGGTCTCTTCCTAAGCTCATGTGGGGTGGCCACCATTCGGCTAGCAAAAAGCCTCCTGTCTCCCAAGGCGCTCTCTAGAAAATACGTACAAGGAGCAAGAAATTGCAAGTAGATAAATAGGTACCACTTCAGTGGGAAGGTAACAGCGTTCTGTGCGCCTTGGTGTTTAGTCATGCCAGCCACATGACCACGGAAACGTCTTCGGACAGCGCTGGCTCTTCGGCTTTGAAACGGAGATGAGCACTGCAACCCTAGAGTCGGACTCGACTGGCTTTCGAGCAAGGGAACCTTTACCTTTTACACCCCATTCAGTTTTCCTATCCTGGCTCTCCAAGGCCATTTTAGGTGGGAACATAGTGTGGAAGGGAAGGTTTATCCCCCCCCCCCTCTTGTGCTGTGGCTTCAATGAGA